CCAGAGCAAGTGAGGAAAGGACAGAGCCCAGGAACGGCAAACACATCGTGAATCGTTTCCTGCAGCATAATTAGGTTTCTGTGACCCGCAAAGGGCCTGCCTACAGAGGCAGTCTGACGTCCGAGAGAAAGGAAGTGCTCTGTCTTTGTGGTTTGTCCATTCGATAGAATACTATGCAGCCACTAAGCTGAGATGGTAGGATCGGGGTCACTTCAGGGAAAGCTATTCCGTAAGCACTGTTGATGGTGCACCTCGACCTATGCGTCTGGATACCATGGGTATAAATAGAGAAAATAAAGGTCAGGCCAGGCACAGTGGCTCACACCTGTAATCCTAGCACTCTGGGAGGCTGAGGTGGGTGGATTGCTTGAGCTCAGGAGTTTAAAACCAGACCCCGTCTTTACTAAAAAAAAAAAATAAAGCTGGGCATTGTGATGGCAGCCTATGGTCCCAGCTATTTGGGAGGCTGAGGCAAGAAGATCACTGGAACCCAAGAGTTTGAGGTTGCTGTGAGCTACAATGATGCCATGGCACTCTACTCAGGACAAGAAAGTGAGAAAGGTTTTTGTTTTTCTTTTTTTATACTGTATCAATAGAAACACCAGGTTTAACATGCACAAAGCCAAGAAAACCAACATGCCAAATACTGAATTTCTATGGCACTGACCTTGGAACACCCCAGCAGGAGTAAGCTGCTGGGTGCAGATACCATGCAGTGCAAAGAAAGCGAGACTTTGTCTCAAAAAAAAAAAAAAGAAAAAGAAAAAAGACAAACAGAAAGGTCTGAGGGAACATGGAATACTGTTCAGATATTTAAAAAGATGGAAACTTTACATCTTTTGTATTAACCAGGGTGGAGATAGAACATTCTTCTTAGTAAAGCATCATGAGAATGAAGAAGCAAGAATCCAATGTACTCGATTCTGATCTGAAGCAGTAGATGATCTAATGCATACCCTCATAAGAGAAAACCTCAATTCAAGGTGGGGGGCAGGGCAATGAGGGAGGGAGAGAGGGGAGGGGGAGGAAGAGGGATTACAGTGTAGGGCACACCTCTTAGAGGTGGGACACAATTATGAGGGGGACTTTACCTAACAAATGCAATCAGTGTAACCCAGTTCTTTGTACCCTTAATGAATCCCAAACAATAACAAATAAAAAGGTCCGCGAGGATACATACCAAAGTGTCAACAATGACTATTTCCAGGTTGTGCTATAATGAATTGTCCTTTCTTCCTCCCTCCCTCCTTCTTTTCTTCTTTTTGAATTTTCTCAGCATTCTACAATAAGCATTTATCACTCTGTGCATTTGCAAAGGTGTTCCCTGGGTTTCCTGGGTACGACCAGATGGAGGCTCAATCTTTGAAGACTTTTCCTGTTTCTGACCTCACCCGATGTCCCTGCAGAGCTCTTATGAACTGCCACTGTGGTTCCCCAATAGATGTTTTTTTTTTCAATGAGACCTGGAGTTGAATCTGAGCACTGGTACCCAGGTGACCTTTGGAAATCTGGTTAACTCAATGACTCTCAGATTGTGTATTTGTAAAATTGGACACTTATTACCTACATTCATGCACTACAGTCAAATAAGGGAATTATTTCTTATCACATGAGATATTAGGTGGAGAAGTATTTGTCAACTGTAAAACAATCTGCAGTTGCCATTCTTACCATCATTTTCTTGTTCACACAGGACTAGGAAAGGTCAAGGGAACCCAAGCCCCCTGTGGTGGGATCACTCCTAAGTGGGCTGGGGCAAGTGGAGCCATAATCATTAACTTTGGACAGAATGCTATTATCTAAATTGAATTTCCCTAGTTGTTTTAATAATGGTCTTTCTAGTTTTTTTTTTTCCAATTCAGTATTTAATCAAAAGGCTTTAAGAAACATGAGCTGTGAAACATGAGGAGAGTAGTATACGAGTAGAACAGTTTATAAAATGTCCTGAGACGCAGCCAAATGGAGTCACTGGCTACCCTGCTTGGGAATCACGGCACCAGAGTCAAAGCAGCATGTTAAAAGCCAGAGTCTCTAAAACCCTCCAGGACTTCTCTGTATGAGACTGGTCTCATTCCTACGGTGAGATAGAACACAATCATATTAATAAAAAGAGCAACTCAGGCTCACTGCCCGTATCTCAGTGGGTAGGGCACTGGCCACATACACTGGGGCTGGCTGGTGGGTTTGAACCCAGCCCAGGCCTGCTAAACAATGACAACAACAACAACAAAATAGCCAGGCATTGTGGCGGGTGTCTGTAGTCCCAGCTACTTGGGAGGCTGAGGCAAGACAGTCACGTAAGCCCGAGTTTAAGGTTGCTGTGAGCTGTGACACCCTAGCACTCTACTGACGGTGACATAGTAAGACTATCTGAAAAAAAAAATAGCAACCCAGAATTGCTCTTTGGACAGTGAATTATCTGCCCAGATGAAGAATCCTAGCACAAACGAGTAGGCTTTATTACAAAATAAAAACAAAACAAAACCCAAAACCATTAACAGCACCTTGCCCGTGACTCACTTGTCCTGCTTTCTCAGCGTCACATGGGTAAGTTCTTTTATGCTTTGACGCTGTTTCACGAAAGGCCTGGAAACACATACAGTGATAGCAAGAATAGTGTCTAATCAAGAAGAGCACACAGATAATTGTCAAAAGCTTTGATTTTTTCAAAGGAACATTGCAGACGTCGTGCAATGAAAACGCATCAAGCCTTTACCTAAACTCCCCGAATGTCAGCATTCTGCCTCATTTGCTTTATCTTTTTCTATCTACATATATTATTTTTTGTTATTGTTGAACCTTTAAAGAGGAAGCTATAAATTTTATTTTCCATGGGTCTTTCTTCAGTAGTCTAAATGTCTGAAATATATTTCCTAAAAGGTAGAAAACATACAGGAGTTTTTAGCTGTATTTGAAACTTTCCCCCTACTTAACGTTCTAAGCCACTGATGGAAGATCTCTTTGTAATTGTGCTTCTGGGTTCAGCCTCTTAGTATCAATGCATGGTTTAAACCAAATCACTATTTTTCTCAAACTCAGGTTCCTCATCTTTTTCAGGATATAAATCACATCTGTATCTTCAGACTGCCGTGAGAATTAAATAAAATTCCATGAAAATCACTTTGTAAACTGTAAATTTTCTGTGCATATACAAAATTCATACTACCAATGAGATAACATCACTAATTATGAACCACCACGTTGAACCTCACACCTTTAGGTCCTGACGTTGCCCCCAACAGGGCCGGTATTGATAAGCACTCAACAAACAGGGGGCATTGGGGCTTCTGGATCTACGATCCAGAACTGGCATCTCTAAAGCAGTGCTCTCCAAACTTTAGGGTGCATGAGAGTTTCTGAAGGGCTATTAAGACCCAGACTCCTGGGTCCCACTTCCAAAGTTTGGTTCAGTACCCTTGGGGTGGGCCTGAGAGTCTACATTTCTCACATGTCCTCTGGTGATGCTGGAGCTGCTGATACGGGGGTTGAACTTTGAGAACCCACCACTCCAAAGCATGGGAAGGATGGGTAGGTTTCTTTCATGGATGTTCTTCTGTGGGAAAAAGGTGAGCTTAGTACAAAACTTTATATAGTATTCTAGAGTGGTACTTTGCCAAGCTTCATGGAGACTGTTAACGGGAGAATCTTGTCCTGAAATTGTGGCCCTGGACCCACAGTACAGGCATCATCTGCAAGTGGTTAGAAGCAGTCTTAAACTCCACTCCAGACCCACTAAATCAAAAGTTGCATTTTAACAAGATTCTAGGTGATTCTCATGTGCCTTAAAGTTTGAAAAGCAGTGGATAAGGGTAGTGAAATCCACCTCACTTTCAGAATCTCCAAGGCACATACCTTTCCAGAATAGCAAATTTGCATTTACTGACATGACTGTGACAAATGTCTGTCTCCCTCTCTAGACTGAAACCCCGTAAGAGGAAGTGTGCTTACTGCAGGACCTCAGAGCCACACAAACTTGTTGGTGCATGAAAATCTGTTGAGTAAATCAGTGACCCGTACCCTGGAATCTCACGCTATGCCTACCAACCCTCATCTTCAAGAGGACTTCAGAAGTTTAACTTCTTGATTAACACATGTGGAAACCTAAACTTTCTTAGCTCTCAGAGAGATGATTAGGAAGGAGCCCTAAGATAAGGAACACACAGTAAAGTTTCTTTACTTTTTGCTTGAAATATGTATTTACCAAGATCTGAGTCGCTTAGCTGCAGAGCTCTCCCCGTATTAGGGAGAAGCTACTGAGCACATTCTCTGCATGAGGACTTTTATTCTTGCATAATGTTATTAATTTCATTTCTTTGAGGTTGTTTTATGCAGCAGGAAATGTTATTGAAGCAAAATGTTATAAATTAACAAAATCACTAGTAAAAAAGACTTTCACTTTTTTTTTTTATGTTGCCCTTGGTAGAGTGTGGTATCATAGCTCACAGCAACACCCAACCCTTAGGCTTGAGTGATTGTCTTGCCTTGGCCTCCCAAGTAGCTGGGACTACAGGGGCCCGCGGTAACACCCAGCCATCTTTTTGGTTGCAATTGTCATTGTGGTTTTGGCAGGTCCGGGCTGGGTTCCAACCCGCCAGGTCTGGTGTATGTGGCTGGCGTCCTACACACTGAGCTGACTTTTTACTTTTAATTCATATATTTCTATCTGCTTGCAGCTTATCTTGCCTTTCCATAAAAGAACTTGAAGCAAATGTTTACAACAAAATACTAAAACATACCTTAAGAATTTACTAAGGCATGGCGTGGGTTACAGTGATTTTGTGAGCTCTCATTTCCTGTGTTCACTGATGAAAAAAGGTGTCTCATACTTTACAACCTAGAAAGCATAATACTAGAGGCAATTTGTGCCCAGTTTTCTAAGCAGTAAAGGGGGTTCTACTATAGATGGCTTTTGTGAAACATCACTGAACGACCTCAATACTTTTCCCCCAGTCACAAGAGCAAAACTCAAAAACCAACAAGAGTAAGACAACAGGTAGTGTTAACAGCGCTTTTATTCCCAAAGAATTGTTTTTATTTGGCCATTTGGAAACCACTAACATTTTTCACTTTAGAAAACATTAAATAATAAACATGATGTTATACAGTACTTTGGATAACTTCTGCCATCAGTTTAGTGCAATATTATATTATTGGCACCTAAAAGTAAAATGTTCAATTATTTTCCCCTTTCATCTTCAGCTGTGCAGTTGTATGACCAAAAAGGAAATGAATCACTAAAAATGGATGTAAGGCTGTATTTTCTGCCTCTACTCAAAGGCTTAATGATTTATATTCTGCCTCCAGCCCTGCCTTTACCACGTTAAACAATAAAAGACCTTCTGTAGTACCTACAGTTCAAAAAACAAGTATTTTGTGGAACTTGGGAGATTCCAATTGATAAGAGAAACTGAGTGATACTGACTTGGTGAAGGACAGGTCGAGTGGTGCTGGGCAGGGCGCTCATTTCCAGTAGCCAAGTTTGCTAGTCACACACAAAGCAGAGAGGAAGCACCAGATAAAAATAGCTTTGAACTGTGATCCTGGTAGGGTGTCTTTAGAAAATACGAAACATCATATTGAGTAAGTTAAAGGTTTGTACTTTTACCAAGAAAAACAATTTTAAAACACTACCACTTTGGGACATTACAGAGCTACTAAAATATCCGTCTGTCCTATTTTTCTTGTGGAATAACTGCTTTTTTTTTTTTCCTTTTGGCTTAAATACTACTCAATTTTCCATAAAAGGAAAGACATTTTAGTGAGCTGGGCATTTGGTAGGCTCTTTCCTCTTCATTCAGAGGTCAAGAGGGAAAGACTTAAATTAGAGCCTCGTCCAGATTCCTTAGTTCTCAAGATTTTCATTACATACCAGTAATAGGGTCAAAATATCTTTTGAGAGATTCTGCAATCTGTTGCTTTACCTTGAGGTAAGGACATCGTTCACCATCTTAAGTAGACATATCTTTTTATCTAATTTTTAAAAAGCTGAAAGAATAGGGGCTGAGAGGCGATTAAGATTTTCACATTTCTTTTTCATAAAAGATGGTAATTTAACAAGAGTCCCTGCCCAAGAATGATTCCTCCAACTCTAGTCTAAGCCTGTTTCCTCTAGTCCTATTCTTAGCACATATGGAGAATAGCTGGTTGTGGCCCTCTCTGTGCCAACCTTTCATAGACTTGAAAACCATCAATGGTTTACCCCTCAGTCTTCTCTTCTCCAGGCTGAATAATCCCAGTTCCTTTAATTTTTCATCATAGATCTTTTTTTCCAACCCTTTAATCATCTTTGTGATTCCTGGCAAAAACAGAAAATATTTCAGTTACTTAATCAGAAATTAAGAAAACCTCAGGCGTAAGTTGCCTTTTACAAGTTTCATTATTTTGAAATATAAAGGTAAAACACAGGGAGAGGAAACATAGTTGGGGGGTCATGGATCTTAGCTGTCCTCCTCCCTTGGCGCTGCCTCCCTCCAAGCGCGGGACTTGGTCCTCCCCTCCTGACACAGCCCCTAAGTGATGAGCTGCACCTGGTCCAGGGGAATTTCTCTCATGCTTCTTCTCACTCTGCTTCCTTAAACAGGATCCTTTCTCCAAAACAACCAAAACTTTTACAAAGCTTACAGATTACCAGAGAGAGCCTTGTTATGATGGTAAAAGCTGTTGGCTTACATGGGTAACTTGAAACAGTGAAAGTTTTACATATTAACTACAGTTTCTTATCTCCCACAATGGTTTACTATCCTTCACAGGGATCAAACTCAAAACTATTAAAAAAAAAAATTCGTCACTCCACTACCACAACCTGACATCTCTGCCCATTTTCTGTTGCTGCCAATGTTAAGGTCATGGAACCACAGGACACTTCACCATGTATTTGTTAACTCAAGAGATCACAAGTTGCCCTTTACCTTGCAACTAGAGTCTGTAGATACTAGGAACACGTAAATACTTAGTATCATATCAATAGCACATTTACACGAAACACAACAGCACTAACGAGGGATTACGTGCCCACTCTACATAATTGTCTTTAAAAGAAAAATACAGATAACAATAAATGCATCTCGATATGGTACACACCCTTATTTTATAAAGTGAATGGCAGTAAAAGAGTTCAGGTCAGGCCAGAACTACCTCATGTGAAGAGGATACACCAATTTCACAAGCACATGGTACACTGTATCTCAGGGAACTGTGAACAATAACATAATGGCCATTTGTACAGATTTCTTTTGAAAACTTCTCCCAGAATTTAATTTGCTCCCATACTTGCTACAAGGAGCACCTTGTAACCAGGGTGAAGGATGGTAGGGGACACAAATGCTAAAGGCCTTCCACAGAGACACGGATGGAAGGCCACATCTAGCGACGGCCTGGATGTATCTGCAGATGCCCCCATGCTTCTAGGAGGTGTCACTGTTCACTGGGATTGCACGAAAGCAGGCCAGCAAGACCTGGGTCACCAACCAGACTTCCTCCTGACCACTGACCCACTCTTCTCCTAGGCCTGATAAGTAGGAGAAGAGGAGAGAAGATGAGGATTGGAAAAAGAAGAGGGAGCAACAGAGGAGTTCACTGCTAGTTCTGGAGTTGTTAGCGTTCTTCAGAGCAGTGGCCTTTTTTCAAGCTCACATCATCCAATCCAATCTCCCCAGTGTGACCACGCCTTTTTTCACCTTTGAAGATGACCTAGGGAGAGAACGCACACACCAGTCAAGCCTCCTCTGCCCCTTTCCAATACCGGCTTATTAAGCAAAATAAAGGCAAACCTTCTCAAAGACTACACAGCAGACTTATGTAACAGGAGGAAAGACAGGAACACAGTTTCCAGGGTCACCTGAGGCTTGGCTTAAGTCATCAGTAAACTGTTCTCAGACCACATTACTCAGAACCAGTTACTCTTTAAAAAGCCATTCTAAACTGTAGACTAATTCCATCTAGGAATGTTTATGACGTGAGCACTTCAGTAAAAGATTACCCAGGTGAGAAGTCAGAAGAGTGTGGCAGAAGGTAAAGGGGCAGATATGAAGGGCCAAAGATCTGAAAGACGGTAATCACGCAGCCTGGCTTAGAAGTTTCTGAGTCCCGCCATTCGGTTAACGCAGCTTTGGGGCAGAAAACGCAGTAGGATGAAACACCAGAACCCCACCTCACTGTTGTTTTGCCTACGTAGAACCCCCCGATTTTTACTGTTCTCATATTTTATCATTCCTGCTCTTTTTAAAACAGGAGAAACCTTTCAATGCTATGATTCGAAACAATTTATATCTTGTTTTATTTCTCCAAGCAATGAAAATATTTAGAAACATTTTAAGGGCTATTATCAAAGAATTAAACAAAATCTAAATACCCTAATAAGAGCTCTATTAATGGGATCTATCTTTTCTTTCTAAAATAGTTTCTAGAACCTATACCTATGGGTATAGAGGCAGAATCTCCTAACAGCAAGTTTTATAAGCACCAACATAAAGACATTTCCCCAAATGTATTATTTTGGCGATTTGCTGTGGAAGAATTTCTCACTAGCTGTGACTTGACTTCTTAAACTCATATTTATGTATTCAAACAAGCCACTTTCTCCATCCCGTCCTGGATAAACTAGTGCTTTCCAATTGTAGTTCTGGGTTCCCGCCCTAGGCTGTTTAACTATGATCTCTGAAGCAAAGAAGTAAAAAATACATTGAGCTTTCAAGAAACCTTTCAAAAGAGAAAAAAAGAGTCCCAGCCAGGGCAATTTATGGTAGGGAAAGGGTGAAGTCTAAGGAATTGAAGGAAATGGAAACGAGAAAACAAAAGGAAACTCGCTGCTCCTAACCTTTGAAGTTTCTGTTGATGAACATTTTTCTATTCCTAAATTTTTTTTCTTTTTTTAGAGACGGAGTCTCACTTTGTTGCATAGAGTGCTGTGGTGTCACAGCTCACAGCAACCTCCAACTCCTGGGCTCAGGCGATTCTCTTGCCTCAGCCTCCCAAGGAGCTGGGAGTATAGGTGTCCACCACAACACCCAGCTATTTTTTTGTTGCAGTTTGGCCAGGGCCAGGTTTGAACCCGTCACCCTCCGTCTATGGGGCCGGTGCCCTACTCACTGAGCCACAGGCACCACCCAATCCTAAATATTTTTTTCAGTAAGAATGGTTTTCAGCAGGATGGGAAGGTGGTGGCGATCACAGGTTGCAATGAAGAGAGATGAGGCAGCGGAAAGGGGTTTCAGAAAGAGTCAGTGAGTGGAGTCACCCTGCCCAGGAAACACCAGACGTTCAGCTGAGCCGGAATTCACAGAGGAGGCCTTTTCAGATTCCCATCCCAGAGCTCTCCTAGGAAAGGAAACTTCCCAGCTCCGGCCTCCTGTGCGGATCTACTTACGCTCTTGACGTCAGCCCCTCGCAAGGTGATCTGGGTCTGCCTCCAGCCATGGCCACCATTTCTTCCCCACAGGGCTGCTCCATGGGCACCGTGTTTTCTCACAAACACCTGGAGTGTGCCAGAGTGCAGCCCAGTCACCTTGTGCCTGAAGGACAGGCACAGGTCCCCTGAATGCATGAGGTGGCCGAGGGGTAGCACCAAGCGAGCGGCTTTTCCCCCGGGGGCTTTGGCTGCCGATACTGTCAGATACTGTCCACCTGGAAGGGAAAAGCAGGCTGTGTGTGCAGCACCAGCACCCCTCGCTGGCCCTCGCTAGCACAAACAGCATGGCGGGAGGGGTAGTTTTTGTCTGTAAAGACTTCCAGATTTCTGAAGATGAAAAATATGAGTTATTTCTATGCTTGTCTAAATTTTATGGTTTGTTTGCAGAAAACACTCACTTTGCTCATGGATAGCAGACGTTAGGCCAATGATCCACAATACTTAGTAATGCACTGTGGATATTTCTGATGGAAAACGCTCTGATGCCCATAACACAGAAAAACATACACAGGTTCACCCCCCACCTTCTCATCCTCTCCACTTCATGATTATCTTGTCCGGCCCCCCCTGCCAAGCTGTCTGGGTGGTTTGGAAGAACTGACCCTAAATTTCCAGGCAGAATTTTCTACCTGAATAACCAACCTCTAGGCAGAAAGCACCTGGTAATTTAAAGGGCACTCTGCCTACTTATTCTCCCTCCCTCCACTTGGTCTCTAATCTCCAAAGACAGAAGGGTCCGTTTTAAAAGTCAGAGTTTACTACGCTTTTCACGCTGGTGGATACCTTACCCCGGGAAGATACAGAGTAAGGTTTCCCTGGAAACCTCCACATCTTCCTGGAGCATCGATTTTATTTGCAGGCAAGTCCTTTAAAACATTTTTATAATAAAACAAATCTGTAACATTATACATATTTCATAAATATGTTCTATTATATATGCATGACTAAAAACTGGTAATAAAAACGTTCACTTTAGACAGATCACTCTGATGACGTCCCCAGAGCCCCAGGCCACACGGTTTGCTTCCCTCTGTTGTTAGGGAGACTATATAACAAAAAACCTTCACGCAGCAGTAAAGGGAGAAATGCTGCTTCTCGAGAGAACAAGTTATCAGCGGTATTTTGAAACTCAACCCATGTCGAAACGGCATTCCCCCTTCAGGCTGTTTTGTCTCAGACAACTGGAAAACACACTGTATGTTTCAACACTGATTTTTCCATAGGAAAAACCTGGTTGGAATGCTGAACATATTGCATGCATCTACTTTGGTAGGACACCATTTATTTTTCAATTAAAAGATAAGCCACCATCACATTCTGCCTAATTTATCCAAGACATAGTAAGATCTGGGGCACCCTCTTATTAGTAGAGGATCCTCCCCAAGTCCCGCTGAGCTCTCCTAGGTGATGTTTGTGGACTTGTGATGTGCCAGCCTCCGTGCTAAGTGCTCCTCAGAAAGCATGGACAACACTAAGTTAGATCCAACCTCTCCCCCAAACTTCCCTGTTACACTCCTGGCATGGTGGGTGTTCAACGTTATTTGTTGAGTAAATGAATAAAATCAATCATAATATTCCAAAAATACAGAAAAAAAACTGCAGGGAAATAGGTCCTTGAGTCATGCACTTGAATCACTAAAAACACACAATTTATCTGTCCTCCCCCACCTGCCCTGGTCCCTTCCCCCCACAAATTAATCTAAACAATATTTGGGGCCAAAATATTTATATGGATTTTAGACATCTCTACAAGTTAGCTTTTGAATCACCACAGATATTCTAGTTAAGACCAACATATCGGGTTAAACACTTAGCTTGAAAGTTTGAAGAAAACAAGGATTAAGTCCTGTGGAATGTTCTGGTAGACCCGACCTACAATAAGACAACCTAACAAAACAAGGCACCCTAGTAAAAGATTCAAATAATCCTCTTGTATGTGTGTTTAAAATTCTAACATTTAAAACATGATAAATGAGGTGACCTCTATAACGCAGCTCTGTGAGCACCAGATTTTTTCTTTTCTACTTTAGTTATTTTAACTTGAAGAATTCTCTTTGTAGTAAAAGGAAACATTACCAAGTTGGAACAATAACTAAGGGAAAAAAAAATGATCCAGCATTGCAAAGGAGTTACTTATTAACATTTTCACTTCTAATGCCAAAATACTATATCAAAATATAAAACTATATTAAATATTTTCATTCAGTCTAAAGCATCACAACATCTAAAGGATCTGAAAGTGGGGTGGTGGTGGTAAATAACAGAAGCAGGCCAGCCACTGCTAGAAATGCTTTACATATGTTTAGTAGACACTACTGACTGTCCATGTTTAAGAAACTTACTTAAGGCCAAAGCTATTTAAGTGGTGGTGCTAGGTTTCAGCTCAGGCCTCTGGCTTCAAAGTCCACGTTCTTGTTAACTCTTAAGGTAATAGTAAATGATGAAAGCAAGGTACAGAAGAGGATGCCATTGTGTGAAAAAATATAACCCTGGAAAGATAACCAACAAGCTGTCTGAACCTGTGGGCATGGATGGGCGCCAGAAAAGGCAAGGAGCTTTCATTTTCACTGTTGATTTATTTCTTCATTTATGTGTATTTTGAAACAATGCTTTTAATGCTGCAGTAGACATACGTGTATGTACACGTTTGATATATGTTTAACTAAATTCCTTGTAGCTATCAGTAGCAGACAGAGTGCTGAGTCAGTTGCCCTTAACCCTTGTTCTCTGAAGGTCAGGGTTCCAGGAAAAGGGTCTCAGGTCTAGCCTTGGTGTTCACAGGAGAAAGGTCTTGGGTCTAGCCTTACACAGGAGAAGGGTGTGTCCTCAAGGCCTTCAGTACATATCTGAACTACATACCACCACATCTGCTGGCAGCAAAATTTTCCATTTCTTAGGGGAACCTATTCATTTCACATCTCACAATGAAGTTCAAGACCAAATGTGATTAAAAAAAAAAAGACCTACTAGCACCAGGAAGGGCAGTTAGCATATGCCCTTATTTTGCAGCTGTTTCTCAAGGTTGTGAGATTAGTTGAGGGTTTTCTTAGAAATATTAGCATATAAGAACATTTCAAATCTGGATCTTGGATAAGAACTATACACCATTAAAATCAGTCATAATGGGAAATCCAAACATATATTTTATCAATGGTATAATCCAGATAGAAAGCAAACAGCTTGGCAGTTAGAATGACACAGAGAAGTTATTTATTAGATTACTTATATTCTTCTCCAGCTTTCACATGCTAGACACACATACACACACCTGAACTTCCTAGAAGAAACAGAGGCATGAAAAGGTATGCATTATTATATTTCTTATCAGAATATGGTTAGAGTTCCCCCAAATATTCCAAATATATTCTGCGATTCCATTAGACATATGCCGTGCACTCCTACCACTTTCTTCCAACCCTCTGCCATTTCTTGGTCTTATTCTTTTTTCCAAGCTAGAACGCTGCTCACCAATTTCCTTGGGATTACCTGGGCATTCCATTCTGAATGAGAGGCTCTCATAGCTGGGTTAAAACCAACCCTTATCTGATACTCAAAATTCTTCAATAACATTTTCCAAATGTCACCCAGTCCAAATGCCTCCACCAACAGAAGGCTCACTCCTTCCATGTCAGCCTGTTGTCTTTTGAGACAGCTTTATTAGAAAGTTCTTTCTGCAAGTGAACCAAAATAAATATCCCTGTGGTTTTTACCCACTGATACTACTTCTCAAGCTCTTGTGGTCATGGAGAACAGCAATCATTTGAAAAGCCACCCCACTCTATTATTACTTCTCCAGCCTAAACATTCTGGTGTTTCAGAATGGTGCTTCTCAGAGCCTTATCTTTCACAGGCTCTGAGTGTGAAATGACCTTTCTATCCAAGTGGCATACAATTAACTCTCTTCTCCTCAGACTAGAAAGAACCCTTCGAAGTGAATTAACCACTTAACCAAAGTGAATTTTCCATTATGGAAAGTTCCCTAGTTCTTTCCAAATGGACCATCTTTTTGGCAGCAACATCACAAGGTTCACTCACATCAATTTCATTTCCACTAACACCATAAAATCTTCCACGCTTGGTCCTGGGTGACATCATCCCCCTTTCTCAGCTGTGTGGCTGGTCTGGAGACAATGACCCAGACCTTGTATTCCTTTCTGTAAGACTTCACCTCCTAAATATGAGCCATCAGTGTTTTAAATGCGGGTTGTGTCAGCACACAGTGACACTTTCCTCTCCTCCACTTTCTGGGTGAAGAACCCAGAGCAATGCTGCAGATGTGCTGGGCTGGGCACTGCACTGACCAGGAGCCTGCACAGGCAGGACAGAGGGGCCATGAAGACAGAAGACTCCAGTTTGACACTGAAGTCTACCACTCTCTACCTCTGTGGCCTGAGGTAACTTCTCTGGGTATTTCCTTTGTAAAATAAAGACAACAATATTACCTGCTTCTTGGGGGTAGATAAGATTAAAGTAAAATTAATGAGATGATGAACAAGCTAGGATCATCATAGGTATTAAATGTATGTTGGTTTCTTTCTGATTCACCCATGCCTGTGACATTGACATTTATTACATCATTGTCCTGCTCAGAGTTAACCTTCAAAGAGTGAGGGTAATGCAAAAAATGAGAGCAGGTACACTGAGTGTGAGGCAGTAAACATTTTGTTTTACAACTTAAAAAAATCTGAGAAAGCGCATTTGAATTTATTGATTATTTATATTTTTAAAAGTTTACCTCAAATTTTTAAATATTTCTATTTCAATCTTCAGGGATCTAATAAACACATTTTTGGGATAATTTTTTTAATACCTTGCTACTCAGTGTGCATTGAGGAACCAGTTAGAAGTGCATGAAAACTTGCATTTTTAAAAGGCCCTCAGCCTTTTCCGTATACACACTGGGTTTGAGAAGAGCTGGTTTAACATATCATAAGCTTTCTTCTGTGTGTTTGTGATCTACATACTTGGTATGGTATTTAAGAATTAGGCCTTTAAAATAAAGAAAATAACACACTTTTCCATCACATCTTGTGTCCTTTATTCTTAGAATTTAGAATCTGGAGTAAAAAAGGAAATAAAAAACCAAATTTTCCATTCTTCCATTAAGTTGGCCTCACCCATGAAAAATTTAATTTCAGGGAAAGAAAGCTTTCCTGATACTACAAGACAAAACATGTCATAAATACTAAAACTCTAGCTTAATAAGAATTGTGCAATTTAAAAATCTGTCAATTATCCAAGGAACTATGTCTAAATCCACCTAACAACCTTCTCTTATGGAGTAGGTAGTGGTAATTTGTAACTATTTTATCCAGCATCCAAGTTGAGTGAAATCTTTCTCAGAGAGATAAATCACAGGAGTTCTATTTCTACTGTATCCTTCTACCTCATAAATCTTTTTTTTTTTTTTTTTTTTTAAAGGATGTCATTGAAAAAACAGGGACTAGCTACCACCATGGCTGTAAGATTACTTCTTTTATTACTGGGAATGGGGCACTAATAATAACTTGAAAACCATATTCAAGAATAAGGCTTAATGTTTTATTCACCATGTTTTCTGGGAGAAATAAGCTGGCCTTTTAATTAACTACCCCTCCCCCATGATTTAATACTAACCGATAGCTAACAAATTTAGCTCATTTATAGAAAATGGAATATTCATACTATGCATGATCTCTTAGACCCTCTTCCTTAAGTAAACACAGAGATGTGCCCTGGTATACTTAATCAGCAGAACAAGGGTCTTCAGATAGGATCAAACTGAAATGTATACCAGAAAAAGTGAGATGAAACAGTTTACCTGCTGGGTCCCTGACCGGCTCCCAGTGTAAGTCATTTTCTTTTTCCCTGATCCATCCACAAAGTCCATTGTCAAAATTACAACTGTGTACCAGAACACCTACCAGAAAACGACCAGAAAGAAGAGTGGGTCACAAGTGCAGTAAACAACAAAAAATCAAGTGTGCACTGGGGATATTTGCTTAACAAGTGTTCTCTCCTATCCATACACCAGAACTCCCTCCCCTGAGAGCAAAAGGAAATTGCATTAATCCCTTCTCAGCACAACAGTGCATGTGTCCCCCATGTGTAAGAACAGAATGCCCAAGTGTTGCCAAAGTATGACCTCGTTACATCATCACTTATAAAATATGATTTCCTTCTCAGAGTTTAAATACTACTTTAATATATTTTCAAAAACGAAAATGAGGGTTCATAATTATTTTTGCTGAACCGATTTAAGTACAGAGGAAATGGAATTGTTTTAAAAAGATGCATAATTTTCCCAAGTGATACCAAACAATCTACAATTTAAAAGTTATTTTCAAGAAAACAGAGGGAAACAATAAAATGTCATTTTAATGGCACTGAAAGTGTCTACCTGGATCATCCTTTGCTTCCTCATCGGCACTGACTCCTCTTTCTATTTCAAATATTTCAAATAAATCATTTGAAGGCTGCCGAGGAACTGCAAGAGAAGAGGTTTGGAGTTGGTTTATTTTTTTAATAAGGAAGCGACAAAGAAGCATTTCCATAACCTTTCACAGGGGCAGGCATTTCACTCATCTGCAAGAAGCTAACATTTAAGTACATTTCCTTTAAAGATTCATGACGTTTGTTCTGCAGGGATTTATGTTGTAACATTTATCTGGGTATAATTTTAAAAATCATTTTCAAAAGTTTCTAAATTTCAACATAAAAATAATTTAAAAGTCTTCACCTGGAAAGTACATTTTAAAAGAGCTACCGAGTTCCAGCAAAACATTCATCTCTATGAAAATACCTTGTTATGATCCTTGAATTAGGGCTGTTTAAACTGAAAACACCTATGATTGCAGAGAATTGTTTGGTTTTCTAAGTGCTGCAGCTATTCGCCTCCAATGAACCCAGCACACTGTTGCAGTCTGATGCGTGTTTCTTGCCATGGCCTCCTTTGCTTAAGCAGGTTGTCTGGCTCCTTCCAGATCAAATCCAAACATCTTGGTGCTGCATTTACAATCCACCCCACCAAAATACACAGTACTGTCCAAACATGCCATTCATTTTCACGTCTTCCACCTCATGCTCCCTTTCCTGCTAATTAACCTGCCAGACTTCCCCTCTTCCTTCAAGGCCAGCGTAAATACCTCTGCCTCTGTGGGAACTTTCATGCCCCACACAGAATCAAGTTCTTCCCCCTTGTGCCCTCAGCAGCTCACGTCCGCATGCCTCTATTACGTGCTTTCGTGAAGAACTGCAATTATGCACAGGCATATGTGTCTGTCCCTCTGCTAGTCACTGAGGTCCAGGAGGGGATCAATTGCCTCTTATCCAGGTGGCATTTCCAGGGCTTGACCTGGTGACAGGCACTCAATAAGTGTTTCCTGAGTGGATGTAAAGGTCCTGTCAGAAACCTGTGTACTTTGTCAACACTGTTCCTCAAAGGACACAGTGGGATAGAGCTTAAGAATCAGCTTAAAAAAATAATTGATTCACTTAAATTATTTATTTACTCATTCAACATATATTTGATGGCCAAGTACTGTGGTAGGCACCCCGAGGACATGGTGAACGGGGTGGACAAGACCAAGCAGGGCTTGGATCATATGTAAGTGGAATTCTAATGGGAGAAGCAGACATTAAATGTGGAGATAAATGTGCATTATAACTCTACATTTTGATAAGGGCTAGGAAGGAGGATATTGTGCAGAGTAACTGGGTTGGGGGGGGTTGGGGGAATGTGGAGGAATGTTGACGATGGTGAGGGAAATTCTTGGCCAAAGGCCAGGGAATACTCCCTTCTTTTTTCCAGAACTTCCAACTAATTAGCTGTATTTTTATAAGGCAGGGAGTAAAAGATGTAGAACACCATGAAACAGACATCAGTCAAAGGGATTCTTTTTCAATGATGTGCCTATAATTTTCAGCTTTAATTTTTTAAAACAATCCCATAATGTTTGCGCTAATTGTTTTCTCTTACTATTTCTGAATGTTTTGCCTTTTCGTTTTAAAAGTGAAAAGCACGAAGCCCCTTTCTCTCTTATAACACACACTCATAAAATACCCAGCAGGACCAGAATGGAAGAGGAGAAGCTCTAGGGATACACCTGTTGATGGTCCCCCGGGGGTGAGGCAACCCACTTCCTTCTTTAGACCCCAGATGACTGACAGCAATGACATCCAATCACAGCTTTTCTTTCCTCATTTGGGGCTCTGAGATAGGCCTGCCTCTGTTACTTACTAGAAGTGTTACAAGGTTGTAGACAAGTACCCTTCATTTCTTATGACCTAGGGAAAGTTACAAAAACCCTACAGAACAATCGTGCTTTTATTTCCTTCTCTTGTTGTAACTTACATGTAGACTATCTCTGAAAAGGAAAGGCTCAACTTTTGCAGTACTATATTTAAAGGGCCTTATGACAATTTTTTCAAACCCCCTCCCCTTTTTTCCTTCAGATAAATAACTGTCCAGTAGAAAATAGAGTCTTGATGTAGAGGGGGAAGATCACACAGAGGTTTCCTGGTTTTATGAAAGGAGACCAAAGAGATCCTCTTTGAGGACGCAGCATTTAAACTGACAGGGGAAGAATTTGAAACTCTGCGAGCAGAAGCACAGTGTTGGAGTGGAGGAAAAGTAAGGGTTTCCGGCAGCAGGTACGAAGAAAGAGTGAGGAACATTTAGAGAAAGGAGCTCACAGTGGCTGCAGGATGTGAGAAATGGAGAAAGCAACATGGGACGAGACTGAAGAGAAAGGAAGGGATTAGATCATACACTTGAAAACACCACCCCAAAGAATTAGTCATCTAAGAAGTTGCAAAGGGTCAGTTGCCTATGGTTAATATTTTAAGCACTTGGTTTCCAAGAATATTTAATTTAGGAGCTGATGATCAGGCACACCTTCACTGCAATTCATTGGGAAACATTCCAAGGAATTCCGAGACCTGAAATGCTCAACAGCTATTAGTTCTTGCAGTTTTGTGTGCTTTACTGTCTAACTCGGCTAAGTTATTTAACTAATTCTTCCTCACACACACCAGCCCCGAGCACCAAGAGTCTCCCACTGAAGTGTCAAGAGACAGAACACTACTCACTCCTTCGTATATTTTACAATTTATGTGAAAATATAAAGTGAAATAAGTAGTGGGGGGAATCATTCAAGCAGTATTATCTTATTATCACAACTATGTACAAGAAAAACAACTCAAGTTCAGATCTGTAAGTTAAAACTACCCTTCTGGCTGTGGCCCGGAGAATGACCAAGAAGAAGGTAGGAGTGGGTGTCATATAGCGGTTATGACTGAAATCAACACAAAGAGTGGTATGTTCATTTACTTGTAGAAAATATCCCTCCAATTTTTCTACCCTTGGTCAGTGTTTCACCCACTGAAAAGTAGTTCCTGCCCTTTGCTTCTGATAGCCTTCTGCATGAACTAAAGAAGGGAATGTACAAGTGGTGAAGCAAGTCGGATAAAAACGTGATTGGGCTGGGCTGGAGAAAATGGCAAGTTTGGATAATGGCTACAGAGTCCCAGAGCTAGTGGAGGAACCAGCCACAAAAAGAAACAGGAAGTTTTTTGTAAGAAATGCTGGCCGAGCTGTTTCTAGTAAAAATACATTTTCCCCAGGGTTGCAGTTAGTATTAATATATAACCCATGTTCATAAATGAAGTTCCCCAGATAGGTAATTGTGTATTTTATTTCTGACATTCATCAGACTTACGTAGTTTTCAATCTAGACAGATTCATCTTTGAGAAAGTCTGTGGTCCTTATTCGTACAGTAAAGAAGTTGAGGTGGTTCTGTTTCTATTTTAAAATCACCCAGAAAACATGAAGAGCAAGCAGAGAGAAGTCTATGTAAATATTATCATACACACCTGCCACTGCCAAACTTCTTGCAAACAGTAACTATAGCAAAATGTAGGCACTATTATTAAAGGTAGATTTTCAAATTCTCTTTGTAGTCTAAGGTGGTTCCCAAGACATTATCTAGGCCAATCTGGCATTTGTTGTTGGACTAAAAGATTGAAGATAACATTGCCTTAAATTCTTTCTATACTTAGGGGTTTAGTTCATTGAAGGGAATGGTACATATATAACTATGCTAATATTTTGAAGGCTCATGCTGGTGGTAAGACCTCAAGATTTCTAGATACTACAAATTTTAGGGTAGGGATGAATGACAATGGTTTTATGAAGCAGTCTCTCCCTCTGTGCTTGTCTTTTCCACTGTTTTCTCTCCAGATACAGAATATATGCATTATAGCTTTAAATGATAAGAAAAAAACAAGTACAAAGACTGAAAATTAGTTTCTTTAACCACGTAAGAGAAAAAGATTTCTGGGCTTCACAGAACTAAGACCTTATTTGCCAAAACTTTCATCCCCTAGGAAGAATCTACAAAGCTCATAAGACACCTTTGGGCTGAGATTTAAGAGCAAACCTGGAAAAAATTAAATTTCTGGTGAAGGATGAGATATAGACACAGCTACTCAGAAATCAGTTCTATTTTTGTGACACACCTAGTTCTCCTTTACGTATTGTTTGTACTTTTAATAAAGTTTCAGAACAACTCCCAGGCACTACCTGGAGAAATCCCAGGAGAATAGAATATGTCAATGATGTTTTTTAAAAATATCTTTGCTTAAGCATGGCCATTAGAATAGTAACACAAATATTCCTGATTAAGAGAACATTTGACAGATTTGTTCTCCTTCCTTTTTTGAGCCAAAGGGAACCATGAGGTTTAGGCTCTGTTGTGGCTGAGACCTGCACACTGGAAGGCAGGTGGTAAGGAGTGCGCTGCTGGACTGAATAAGCACTTCCTGGACTGAATGCAGCATGAACACCTGGGGTGGAGCAGAAACCCACCTGCTGCAGGGTTAAGGTCAAAGCACTCTGGCCAAAAGGAAGACAGGAAGCTTTTATTTCTGACATTCATCAGAATTATGTAAGTTTCCCATCTAGACAGATTCATCTCTGAAAAAGGCTGTGGTCATTATTCTTTCAGTAAAGAAGTTGAGGTGGTCCTGTTTCTATTTTAAAAACACAATTGTCTGACCTGGCACTATAAACACCCAAATAAAAAATAATATTCTAATTATGTGGTAATAAGCAAAGAATATATAAAGTAGTTTCTATTTTCATTCTCTGCCCACATCATAGTTCATACTTGCATTATCAATTTGTTTCAAAAGGATCTAGTTAGCCAACACTAAAATTGTAATGAGCCATGATAAAAAGCACCAGGAAAATATAAAACTCAGAACTAAACATAACATAGGGCTGTCTTTTTTATGAATTAAATAGGGAATGCTACCACTACTTTACAAATGAATCACAACAACATCGATAGAAGTATTAATCGCTAATGTCTATTAAGTTACAATTATGCACCAAACACTATACTAAGAATTTTTTAGCTACCCTCCTATCTAATTCTCACAACAGCCCAAATGAGGTAGATACTAGTATCATCCCCAACTTACAG